GTACATTACCAGTGAGTTTTTTTATTCAATTGAATTGCATATAAAATAATTTGTATTTATATAGTTTCTAAAATAACAACAATGACAATGATGATGATGATGATGATGATGATGATGATGATGATGATGATGATGATGATGATGATGATGATGATAGTTCCATTTTAATGTTACTATTTTTGGTATATTATTCCCAAGATTACTACTACTACTACCAATACAACTATGACTACCAATACTACGACAACAACGACCACTACTTTGACTATAAGTACCATAATTATCTAATTAATTGGTGGCTTTTGATATCATATTGGGGTGGGGATAATATTCTTACACTGATTGAATTGTTTTTAAATAAGCAAATAATTGTATGGAGATTTGCTTTTATAACAATAGTTTTAGTAATATTTTATATTTTTGAAGCAGCTTTAATTTATGTCATGTAAGAAAGATTGAAAAGTGAAAATAATTTTTTTTTAGACATTTTCCGGTTACTAATTTGTGGTATCAGGGCACACGAGCTGTCACTTTAATGGTTTCAGGTTTCATAATTTCATATATTATAACATTTTGGATCCATAGATTTAGAGATTTTCTTGGAAGAAAATATCATAACATGGATAGAAATCAACAAATTGCACATGATAATGAAATGGAACAAAGTGCACATAGCGTACATGTTGTTGTTTAATCATGTATTCTATACTTTTGTATTAATTTGATGAATGTATTTTCTCTTAGTTTCGAATCCATTAAATTAGATTTGAAAATTTTTCTTGTTATTACTTAATTATTTAGGAGCTGGGATATAATAAATATTACTATTTTTTATTAACAAGTTTGCATATTAGGATCCTTACATATGCACTGGTTTTGTTTGAACCCCAAAATTCAGTACGACGTTATGAATACTTTCTACTAGCAAAATCTCATTGGTTTTGAGGTGGAGCCATTGGTTTAACGGGATGTTGAATAGTAAAATAGTTTTTTTAGCGGAGCAAATAAATTTTTTAGGGTCAATTATTATTCTAACCAGTTTATACATTAAAAATACTCGTGTTTAACGAGATGGGCATTATGCAACTTTTCGAACACATATAATTCAATTGTTATAATTTTTTTCGTGAAGGTAATTTTAAAGCTGGCCTGATTGAATAAAAAATATCATGAATTGGTTTTAATTTAGAAAATGAAAAATGAAGCCCGCAACAAAAAATAGCAGTTGCAAATAAAATTCAAATTCTTGTTGCTCTGCAGAAGAAATTATTAATAGCTGAGGTGTCAACTAAATGAGTTTCTTGAGATAAAGAAGAAGAGGAGGAAGAGGAAGTAGCCTCATGGCCGAGCTTTGTAAAATGAGACCAAATTTTACTAAGCGGAGGCATAAAAATAAAAGTCTTTTTTAAAAACTTCGTGTAACATTATTCGTTGGGACATTATTATTATGCGCATTTTAAAAAATTCATTGCGCATTATGCAATTTTGCCCATCTCTAGGCGGAAAGCTTGCTATAGAGAGTGTGCGTGAAATCTATTTAATTGTTTTATTGCATCATTTTAAAATATACAATTTAATTTTATTAGCTTTCAAAAAAAAAAAAAATTTTTCACACATGCACAAACAAGTAAGAGAGATAAAGCGCGTCGGTTTTATGAAATTTCTTTCAATGCATGAAGACAAATTAGGTGTTTATTTTCACACATAATTATAAATCAAGAAATCATTTAGAATTGAATTTCATTGATAAAAAAAAGAAATCATTTATTTTTAATTTTTATTAAAAGACTTTGTTTTTCCTTGACAAAAAATCAAAAATAAATAATGAAGTTTAATCCTGAGCTTTCCGTGACTTCATGGTTTGTCAGCCCATTAACATTGCTGATATTTAGAGGAATGGCAACAGCAATTACATGGATGAATTTGTTATTATGTTTATTTAAATATGCTGCTGAATACTTTTTTTATTTTGAAAATTGGAGTTAACTTGGATTAACATTTTATTTTACTGTAAGGTTCCTTTACTTATTTGAAAAAAAAATTTATTTTCAAAAAGAGAAAAAAAGTAATGTATTATTTTTTTAAAAAATATAAAGTTTGCATTCCTCTATTCAATAGGTTATGTAAAAACTGGAACAAATTCATTTAACCAAACTCCTCAAAAGTGCTTTGACTGTTCATTCTGGATGCTTTATCATACAGTTGTATACTACCAGTGAGTTTTTATTCAAATCAATTCCATAGAAAAATAATTTGTATTTATATAGTTTCTAAAATAATAACAATGATGATGATAGTTCCATTTTAATGTTTCTATTTTGGGCATATTTTATCCAAAATTACTACTACCACTACCACTACCACTACCAATATTATGACAACAATGACCACTATTTTGACCACAAGTACCGTAATCATCTAATTAATTGGTGGCTTTTGATATCACGTTGGGGTGGGGATATTGTTCTTGCACAGATTGAACTGTTTTTAAATAAGCAAATAATTGTATGTGGATTTTGTTGTATAGCAACAATTTTTGTAATACTTTATATTTTTTAAGCAGGTATAATTTATGCCACGTAAGTAAGATTTGAAAAGTGAAAATAAAAATTTTTTTTTTTTAATTTAATTAATCACAAGAACGTATTCAACAAACAATATATTACGAACAAATTGCTAACAGACAAAAGAATATTATCCATGGAGCAATTCTTTGTTATTTTAAAAAATTATTATTGCGATAATAACATCAGATGGTACAGCAAAGCGATACGAACTGGAATCTAGTAAGTGGATGGAACAACCAATTTAATTAATATTAAGAGAGAGTAAAGAAACCAAAATTTTAATATACTATATCTACAATCAAAATAACATCAAATAAGTTATTTCTGTTATATAACAACTAAATTGTTTGAATTATAATTGTTTGTTGGTTGAGCGGGTTCTTTATTACCAGATTTTTAAATCCTGTTGCCTTAATGTTGACAACATCATTTTCATTATCATTGAGCCTCTTTTTCAAGTGATAATGTTTAGAAGTGCTTGAAATGCATCTAAATATTTAAGAGTGATGCGTATCATATCACACCAAGGCACTTACAACTTGCTTGCTATTCACAGTGAGGCATCTATATTAAAGCCACAATTAGTACAATTAGTAAATATCTCTATTATATGTCTTGAATTTGTTGATTTCAGTTAATTTTGATTTTAATTTATCAAATATTAAAATTCACAAATTTTTATATTTTAAAGTAGTTTGATGGAGATGATGATAATCAAAAAATCAAAAAAAAGAAATTTGAAAGAATAATTGTGCAAAAATTTTAAGATAGTGAACGAATTGGAAAATTAAAAAAAGAAGCCGATTTAATTTGTAAAAAATATTATTTATCCTTTTTCTCAGATTGTACTGGTGTTGGTTGAGTTGATTTTGATTTTATTTGGCACAGGCTCCTTGTTATTGACATCAATAGTAATAGGAAATTTTTCATCACACCACCATCGTCACATTTAAGTTGACTATTATCATTATAAATATTTTTTTATATACAATTCCTTTTCTATTCTGCCTGATGATAATTAAAAAAGACAAGGTGAGAAATAGAATTTCCATCCACCAGATACATAATTCATATTAACATATTAATATGTATATATCCGCTGAATATCCGTTGAATATCCATTGATTTAAAAAATATAACAATTAATTTAATACATTATACATTCATATTTTTAAGAAATACAATCCTTTCAAATAACAATGGATTCAATTTGTTCGTTTGTCTGGCATTGTGTTTGAACCGGTAAAGGACTTTCGAACAATTGTTTTGTACCCATCTTTATAAATTATTAAATTATTGTATATTTAGAGAAGAGGGATAAAATTTAAAGAAAATAAAATTTTTTTTTTGTGGAAAAAACAAGTTTTTAAAATCGTAAAAATTTGACTATTTTGCTTTATTATTTATTATTTATTTATATTTTTTCCTCGTCAACTTACTATCAAAAGAATAAGAAAAATTGCAAAAAAGTGAAGAATTCACCGTGTAACAACCACGATTGTCGATAACTACAAAAAATCTTTTTAGGGCTCACGTGGTTTCAGATGCTAATGCTCTAAAAGGAATTTCTAATTTATTATTTCCATTTTGTTGATAAGAGAATTTATATGAACTTTATTATAAAATTAAAAGTAACTCATATAAATAACAGAAATAAAATTTTTTTAAAATTTATCTTATCGATTAAATTGGAAAATATAAAAAAAATTTTTTCTTGTAATTCACCTTATCTCTAAAATTTTACGGAGATTACTTATTATTTAAAGTACAATAGTGAAGGGAGGAGAGTTTATATCAAAACAGGGGATTTTCAATTGGATCTTTCAAGTAGTTATTTTTTCAGTAACTATGAGTATGCTATTTCCAACTTCACTAAATAGACGTACGCTTGAGCGGAAGTTGCTGCAATACATAAATATTTTTTTGGCTAATAATGACACAGTTGGGTATTCATTTTTGTGATCTTCCATCATTGTCATCATATCCAATATATAAACCAATTGTTACATTACATCTTGTACAAATTTTCCTGATTGATAAAAAAGATGCAGATCGTACAGGCAATTGTCTACTGAGAACATTAGTATGGGACTTGTAGCATATGATGAAAACTGGTCTACTTTAAACCTTATTGCATAATCTGTCATATTTATTCTGTATTGTCGGTTTATTGTGCTCACTTTGTAGAGATACTTTCACGGTTTAGTGTATGTTTCTTCTTCTGGTAAGAAATCTGAAACAGTTCCAAATTATGGGAATTATCAAACTCGAATTACAACGCATAATGTATTTTACAAGGCTAAATAATTTTATCAAATTTTATTTATTTTGAAAGAATAACTAAATATTGTTTATAATAACAAATAATTTGTTAAAAATTATGAATTAAAAATTCAATTCTTTTTTTAATAATTTAACCCATTGATTCTACTATCAATTTTTTTTTTCGATCCATTCATCAATTGCTCCAACTAATTCATCTTCCATTCTTTGTGAAGCAAAAAAATGGTCAACATCTGTCAATTCTTTCACTGTCCAATTCTTATTTTCCAATAATTTATTTTCTTGTATCCACCTTCTGTACTTGCCAACATTAGTAAATTGATCAGAATCACCATAAACAAATAAAACTTTGGGCCCAACAGCTATTGCTGCTTCTGATGATGAAGATGATGATGATGATGATGATGATGATGATGATAAAGTAATCAAAGATTTAATATATTGATTGTAAATTGAAGATTTAAAAAAAGATAAAAACCAAATAACTGATAATGGATAGCTTATGAATGCATAAGAAATAGGTAATGTTGTTGATGGTGGCAATAAAGATTGCAATGAAGAAGATATTAAAGAACCATAACTATATCCCTAAATAATAAAAATAAACAAACACATAATAAGTTTTTTCCCTTTAAAGTTACATTATAGTAATAACAACAATAATAAAAGAAATGCTTACAATTATTGTTAGCTCAGAAATTTTTGGTATAGACATAATACTTTTATTTCCAAGTTTCCCTGAATTCAATAAAAATTCTACAATTGTTTTGTTCATTGTTTATAATTTTGTTAGTAGTAAGTAGCTCTTATTGTATGTG